AGGGCAGCACACGGTGCGATCGCGCGACCCTGCCCGTGAGCAATCTCCCAACTCATCTCTGGAGCAATCTCCCAACTCATCTCTGCTGATGATTGGCAAAACACATTTCTTTGGGCGCAAAATTCAAATTCAGCAAACTTACGTAGAATAAATCTCAACAATTCATTGTTATTTATCTGGCGTCCGGTGTGATAAAATATTATGATTTTACAATTTTTAAATTGTAAACGCATAATCACAATAATAATATACTGAATTAATGGGTCACCTGACTTAATGATCTATCGGATAACAGAAGAATGATATATCTGTAAAAATGGATGATTTCTGTATTTCCTGTCAATATCTCCAACATGAATTTCATTTACAATAATGGACATATTTTGAATGTAGGAAGGCAAAGTAAAGGAATTATTTAATAGTCGATACGCGATCCTATTCCCAGCAGTCTGTACATTAAAGTAAAATATAATTTACATTAAAACACTGATCCACTTTATATTATTTCTGATAGCTTAAAATAATAAAGATATGCAATGCGTCGTCTACTGAAAATGTTCTTAAGATTCGTGTAAGACAATAGATTGCAGTACACGGTATATGTCTTACGCTTTCACATGATTAAATTATGGAAAAATTTTGAGGTCCTGGTACTGAACAGATCAATAGTTAATTTATCATTGGAAATTGTTGAAGAATTCTGTGCTAATTAAGAGGTGATGCTATAGGTCATTGAAGAACTGCAGCATTGGCAGCTATACTTGGGCTATTAATGACTTCTCCTAAGCTTTCGAGAAGTTCCTTCCTGTAGTCATCGAAGTTACCATCAATTTCATTAATTTGTTGATCTTCGATTACATAAAGGCAACATTCGGTGTCTCTGATAAGTCGTTCGTCGTGAGAGACAATAATAACACCACCTTTATATTCATTAATTGCATCTGCTAAAGCATCAATTGATTCAATATCAAGATTATTAGTCGGTTCATCCAAAATTACAACATCAGGCGCATTAAGACACAGTTCAGCCAAGGCAACTCGTGCTTTCTGTCCTCCAGACAAATCTTTCATTTTTATAGTATGAGCATGGGAACTAAGACCAAATGTTCCAAGTTGTTTTCTAGCCTTTTCATAAGGAAGGTCAAACAATCGCATGAGATACTCCGATGGCGATTCTTCAGCGGTTAAATGTTCCCCAGAGTGCTGATCGAACCTGCCTATCCTCTGCAAAAAAAGAATCCATGAAGATAATCAAGAATATGCGATAATTAACTTATCCATTTTCATTAACATACCAATCGATGATTTCTTATTAGTTCCCCTTCCCGAGGTTCCAAATCTCCACATAAGAGTTTTAAAAATGTTGATTTACCAACACCATTAGGACCTACTATTGCCACTCGAGAACTTAAATCTATACCAAAGTCAGCTTCAATAAATAGTGGCTTCTGCCCTTCATATGCAAAAGTCACGTCTGAAAATAATTCAAACATTAAAAATATAAAAGAATTTTTATTTTCTGTGCCTTTCATGTACTTACTGTGCAGTCCTAGAATTGGAGGCTGCAGAGGTGGTGGATCCGGAAAGCTAAATTTGACAATATATTCTCTCGGTTTTTGTAATAATTCCTGTGGTCCTGTATCATCTTCTTGCTTTTGTATTTTTGTTTTGTTCTTTTCTTGCTTTCTTGTAAGAGCTTCCTTCTGCTTCTTTTCCGCTTGTTTCTTACTTTGGCCCGATGCCTTTAAATCCTTCAACCGCTTCTCTTGCTTTTCATATGCTTTAATCATTTCCTTTCTCTTCTGAACATACATCTTTTTAAACATGCTATAATTTCCTTTATAGTAGAATAGTTTTTGTTGATCCAAGTGAATTATCTCTGTGCAAACATTGTCAAGAAAACTCTGGTCATGTGAAACAACTAGTAAGGTCTTTTTCCAACCCTGCAGGTAGTTATCCAACCAAATGACCGCATTTAAATCTAAGTGATTAGTAGGTTCATCAAGTAAAAGTAACGTAGGCTCCAAGAAGAGTGCTCTCGCTAAAGAAACTCTCATTCGCCAACCACCAGAAAAATTTTTCGTTGCCCGATCTTGCATTGCACGACTAAATCCAAGACCAGCTAGAATCCTGCGTGCACGTGGCTCGGCAGAGTCAGCCCCGAGTGCTTTTAACTCTTCATAAACCTTGTAAAGAAACAATATTATACGTATATCTCCGCAACAGAAAAAGTATCTATATTCCATAAAATATACCTCTTGTAATCTGTCTTGCACCGTAGTATCCCCTTCCTCGACTCGTTCCTCCAACTTTTTACATTCCATGAGTAACTCTTGACATTTCACATCTGCTTTAAGAACCACTTCAACTGCAGGCGTTTCATCTGCAATTACCTCTTGCTCGCAATAAAGTACATCTATATTCGGCGGTATTGGAAATGCTCTCTTCGCAATGTGACGCAGTAACGTAGTTTTACCATGCCTGTATACACAAGAAAAGGAACCGTCAAGATTGAATCTTCATAAATTTTTACCATTGTACATATTTATAGTAGCAGTACGCACCCATTCGGTCCTACCAACCCATATCGTCTACCTTGAGCAATGAGCAAACTAGCATTTGTAAATAATTCCTTTCCCTTCGCAGCAATACTAAAATTCTCAACCTTGATATCAACCGCGTTTTCTAGTTGTTGAGCTCCACGATTTTGTGTCTCTCTTTGAGACACGGTGAAATTTGATTCCAATTCGCTGTGACCCTGCCCGCCGGTCTTAGTCAACAATTCCATCGTCTTCTCATATTCTTGCTGCTTCTTCAGTTTCTTCTTCTCCTTGTGGGTCAACTTTTTCCCCGATTCCTCGAGACCCATCTCTGATATCTTTTTCGTGACATCGGCGTCTTGGTCTTTGGACGACATGCTGCCAAATTTGTTACAACTGCTTTCCTCGCTTCTGGCAGCAGGAACTCCCGGAACCTCGTGGACGTGGTGCCATCTAACCTCAAAGTACTTCAAGTCCAAGTCACGCTTTCACCCGCGCGCCGGTCACGCCTTCTGCGACGAAATTTAATCGAGAAGAATCTCGAAACCCCTAACAGCTGCGTTCATTTTATTAATGATAACATAAAACCTGTATATTTTATATGCGTAAATCTAAAAATTTACAGAAATTTCATTGGAAACATTTTCTAATACGAGAGAAGCGCAAGAAGAAATGTTGGGCGCCGTTGATGCGATTAAAAGACCTTTGAAGATACCTCCTCGATTTGTTCCGTATTTAGAGAAGCACCGAATTTATGAACTATTTCACGTCAGTTGAAAAGTTACTTTATAATATTCATCACATTTCTTTTCATGAGCGGAAGCATTTTAATCGTTTTAAATTAATAAAATTGAAATTATTTGGTTCCAGGAACTTGCCACTCAGGTGGTTATAAAAAAACCGAAAGACCATTTGCTGTTCTTTAAGCAAAGCATTCATCACGCTGCGCGGAGTAGAGATGTTGCTCGAATTATAATTCTCGCCCCTCCTTATTTTGGTATTTAAATGTACTTTTAAATACGTATTTCTTCCGTAACCTGCGTTGGATGCATCCTGATCTACTAATTATTAAAAAATAAATTATTAACTGAAGTATATGTTTACAGACAAGATGCGATTGGGAGAAGTCCTGCAGGAAGAGACAGGAGCAAGACTTATAACTTTAAAGAATATACACGCCGTAGAATCTGGAGTAGGAATTGAAAGGATAAAATTAATTAATAAAATTATCCTATTATCACTTTAGTTTTTTTTTTGTATAACTTCCTGTTAATTGTGCAAAGTTTCTGCCAGTCACAAAACAGCTTTATATTCTGCAGTGTATACAATGCAGTGATTTCGAGGATGTAGCAAGAAATATGAGGAAAATTATGAGAACCGGAATGCTTAACAATGGCTGGGTACTCGTCGGTAATGAATAAAGAAATTATTTTACTACGTTATCAACTTCAATAGTTTTTTAATTATTGTTCCGTAAATATTGATTTAGACGTTCCAAGGACTAAAGCAGAAGCGCGGGCATTTCAGAGAATTGGAATATTACCAACGCACGTTATCGAAATTAAACCAGACCAGGTACCAGGTAATTGTTGCTTAAATCGACTTACAAGTTACTAAAATAATCGCTTAAATCGAAATATGTATTAACCGATAAAGTTTCCTAACTATCTAGAATGTACTTGCAGTACGAACGTGATGGAATCTTTTTATGAACCTGATCGCGGATACAAAAGCTTCAAAAATTCAGAATATCGGTCTTACAAGAAACAAATACGAGGACTTCGAGAAGCCTATTCCAATTTCTTAACAGTATAGTTATAAAAAATCGGAAATCACTCGCGTCTATTGGGTTGACCCATAAGTTCATGCCGTCTAAATATTCCAAATTTTATTATATTTTTTTCAAGCGGGGTACCGAAAATTTCCTTGAAATGTGGGGAACATTGTTGCAGAAGTGAACAATGATGGAGAATATATTATTGAATGGTATTATTAAATTTTACTTAAAATGAATTGTAGACAAAATGTAAAAGTCGGCATGAACTTAGGAGATAATCGAATAATTCTGAAAGGGCTTGGACATTTATTCAATGCGATGTTATTCTTCAGGAAGTTGAAGTTGGAAGTAGAACGATCGAAGATCTAGGAAAAGACTGTGCTACTTTGACAAAAACTAAAAAACATTGCGGAGCACCGAGTCTCTTTCGAGTAGTTCTCCTTGGAGCTCGCGGTTCAGGAAGCAGCACAACCGCCAAGTATTTGTCTCGAAGATTTAACCTTGTCCATGGTAATTATACGTAACAATATAGTATTTCTAATGATCTTTCCGATATTTTGCAATTATTTAAATTGTCATTTTCCAGTGAATTTCAATGACATTTTGGAGCAAGCGCGTTTACAAGAAACGAAATTGGGCGAGGCTATCAGACTATTTGAACACAGATGGGGTTCTCGACCAAAGCCTGAGACAAGAATACAAATAGTTGAAGTATTTAAAATATTTTACGATGGAAAATATATTTTGTCCGTCTTTGACTCTGTTAAACATTTGCCCGTTTTTCTAGAAACAAGTGCTTGGACACGAGTGCATAAAAAGGGGCTGGGTCTTGACTGGATATCCAATATGCGTGGAAGATTTTAAACTTTTAGATCAACTGTCCACGCCTCCAAATCGGTAATTTTTAAAAATAATTTTACTAAAAATATATATATTACTAACATAGTAATAATTGCTTAAGAAAAAAAAACACTATTATTATTTAATGGTAGAGTTTCTTATAAAACGCCATGATACCCTTTCAGAGTAATCTTCATCGACGTCGACAGCATTGTTTGCCGTGACAGACTTCTAGGACGCCGATATAACATGAAAACTGGGAGTAAACACCATCTTTCTACAATACAAAATTTTAAGGGAAATCAGCATGAATTGGGGGTACATCCAAAAGACTACATATCTGTAGTTGAACAAGATGTCAGTATGAATTACATTAGTATCTAATCGTTTCCTCCAAGTATCAAAAACGTTAACAGTTGCCTAACTTTAAACAATCTCCTTCCTATTTTACATTCAGTTCGAAGAATTTGAAAACAATGTAGTCGCGATGAAAGCGTATGCCGGAAGTTCAGCGATCACAATTGATGGAAGCGTAGAAAAGAGAACAGTACAGGAAAAGGTTGAAGCTTGTTTAATGAGACCAGCACCTTGTGCACCACCAAGAGTTCCACGACCACCACCTGAAGTGAATCCAGAGGATATAGAATTTGATCCTGACGATGCACCCGATCCTCGAGTCTTTGACGAAATTAGAGCACCCGAATCAACAATATCTCTGATTTGAATACGTGGACAATTACAAGAATCCGTTTATCGGGTCTGACAATTAAATTTTATTTAATAAGTCATTGAAATTACAGTTCCTCGCGTATGTGAAGAAATCAGCTGGACGAGCTGCCGTTGAAGACAAGCTTAATTCGAGGGGATGTCGATGACGGCACAGCTCGTTCATTATAAAACTTGTCAACATTTAGTAGATTCAATTTGACGGGCCATCGATATTCTTCGGGTGCTATTTTCCTGAAATAGCTGATTATCTAATACATACAAGAACGCGGGGTCAAACGTCTCCTCTTGGGGCTTTCTGTTATCCTGGCACGCAAAACATCCCATCGTCGCAACGTCACGTTACGTAACGCATTACGTAAGCACGCGCACATGAAACACGTCATGTTTCCCCGTCTACGTCAGCAAGGTTGAATTTATGGTACAGCTGACGTCGGAAATACGTCAGGCTTTTCCCCGGCATTCCCGACGCGGCTATCATCCAAGGGTGGAAGTCAAAAGTCACTCTCCAAATTCTGAGCCTATGTGCGCCGACCAATATCCGTCATTAAATGTACACCCCGTTCTGTTTTTCCGGTATCATAATTTACTATAAATCTCTTCACGCCTTATTTAATAATCATTGTATAACGACCGACGATACACAGCGAAAAAATAAAAGTATGGCCCAAAGAAATAACAGATTGCGAAAACAAAATTCGTTTAAATCAACGTCAATTTTTCTTCTCGACGCAATAATTGTTTCTTGGAATTATACATGATTCGGACAATAATATATATTTATATCGGTCAACTAATCGACTTTCGTAACGTTTTATTTACATATCTAAGCTAAACACTCGAGGTTTAAAAATGATTAGAATATCATGAATTGATAAGGTCGGCGATTTAACATATTCTTCATAATTTTTCATATATTCTTAAATAGATAGATATTCGTCAATATTAACGTGTTAGATTAACGACGTGAAATTTGTATGGACATTTTTCTTATAGCACGTTATTACAGATATGCCTGTTCATTAATTCAGATTGATTTTCCAAATCTATTGGAACGTGACGATGTAAGCGTACGTAGGGGAGGTGATAACATAATGGACAACGGGCCGTTTGCACAATTACCCTGTAGTCGAGTTCAAAGGCTGGAGAATGCCTGGGCAAGTTGAATTAAACCGCAACGGCGTCTACGCTAATGCACGTAATTGCCTCAAACGCGAAGCATATTTCCGGATCAAGGACGCATGGTGTCGGGAAAGTTACACGAGAGTATATATCCGGTCCAGGACTCGTTCGAAGGGATGCGACCCTGTCCTCAGTGCCCTCCGAAGAGCAGGCGATACATTTGAACAAGGGAGACTTACAAAGCAACGAACGGCGTCCCTGATATCAGGGTGGTATGAACGGGGATAATAATTGCTGCAGAGTTCCGGTAGATAAAGATTTTTCAAGAGTGTGAAACGTAAGCCGCTTACTCTCTAACGATGAGACACATTATTGCAATTAAGGTGACGTGAAAGTGGAGTCAAAGAGGTTTATCGTTCATAAAACTTTTCTCCGAACTGTTTCTACCGAATCGTCTCAAACTTGACAATGTGAATATGGAGGCTATAAGGAAGGTCCTGAAACTCATAAAATTTCAATTTTAAGATAACTTCTTTATACCTATTTTCAACAATTCTAGTAAGAAATGAAATTTCCCGAGTTTCAGGACCTACCTCAGGGTCTCCTCATTCATGTGGTCAAATTTGAAACAAATAGGTACATCCAATTCGGGGAAATGTTTTATGAACGATTGAGCCCTAAGATGCCACTTTCACATCCCCTTAATTTTAAGGATTTTCCCATAGTCGCAATTAGGAAGGTCGATTGAGTTTTGCGCCAAATGCAGCTTGCTTAGATATACACACATGAGCGTCGCTAATAAAATATAGGATTATAATTCCCTCTTTTTTCAAGTTCAATGGCTGGACTAAACTTATATAAACGTATATATTAATAAATACACTTAGTATATCGATTGATTTCGTACCTGCTACCGAGTTCATTGAATTATTTAATATCTATATAAACAGAGGTATGCGGTCGATTTGTAAACACTCGTAAGTCGGTTTTACGTAATCGTCAAGTGATCTAAAATGATGTTTTCTTTCCTTTGGCGGAGATGCGTTTTCACTCATGTTGGGATTATGGTGTCATAAAGTATTCGCTGTAGGAGGTGCCAGGCCGGATCTCCTACCCGGCATTGGACTCCAACCGGAAACAGGAAGTAAATACATAGGGAAGCAGAGACGACACAGAGGTCTGCGATGCGGAAGTTCCGAATCGTTAGGATGGATTCCAGTCGGTGCCCTCCCACGCCATAAGGAAGCACGTATGGTGTTCGTGGACCAACACGTGGAAAGTCTTAAAGCACTGCCAGGATGTCAGGATCCTTAAGCAGGCCACCCCGCATACTCCGGTGTCTTTCTGGTGACCTGGTTCGTAAGGGTACGAAATGGTTCGGATCGTGCAAGCAAGTTCCAGCAACATTGTATTGTACCTTTTGTCCTTGTCGTGGAACAAACAAAAACGATGTAACGGGGGACTTCGTGGCTCGTAAAAGCGAAAAATTTACGTGTAAGTACAAATGTACGGTGATTTGCTACGGTTATTTCAGCTTGCAGTGGCTCGGAGATGCCAACCTTCCTCCAGGGTCCTTCCAAAAGGACCTCAATACGGAGACGCTGCTCGAGTATCAGGACCCGAGGAAAAACGTCCTTAAAGGTCCTTAGAACCGAACGTGACTTGCTGAAAAATCTGCCCGCCTGTGCCGTAGACTCACGATAAGTATGCATTTCGAGATAATGCATCTCGCCTTACGTCTGCTCGAAATTCGTCCAGGCGATGGGCTGTAACCAGGTTTCCAGAAGGGTGCGAAGTAAGTTCCTCAAGGCGATCGAAGCTCCTCGTTGAAATGACTGCAGGGTGGAACATGCGCCCTTAATAAAATCAATGGGGGTGAGATAGATGTGCGGGGTGGAACGTCCAGATTTCTTACCCCGATCGACTGTGTATGGCTTCAGCGCCCTCGTGTTTCCCAAATGAGAGAAATGGAACATTTCTATGCAGACAAAAGCCAGGATCTTCTTCAACCCCAACCGCAAAGAAAGAGTCCTTCCTGTTCATAGCGATATCTCGAATCTCACATGAATAATTATAAGACAACTTGAGAAGTATTAACCAAAGACCGCAACTCCACCTATTCAAGAAAGCAAGAATCTGACAATTGAGAGAGCGTAGATATGTCCGATAGTGGTATAGAATGCACCGAATAAATAAATATAAAGTTTCGGTAAATACGATTAGCGCGAATCAATATTACAATAGTGTACCATAGTTATATATACAAGTATAAAACTTGAAATAGAAATTCACAAATCATATATAATATTATTGTCGCTCTAAAAATTGTGCGCCGTATGTGTATGTGCATATTTGATGCGCAGGTAAGGATGCGCGTGGGCGGTCGCGTTTTACCCCCCACAAATATTCCTCGCACCAGGACACCAGGACGTCGAAGTTTCGGGAGCATTTTTCTCACCCCGCCGCGGCGGGCGAACTCGGACCCCGGAGCTTTCATAGGGAAAGCATTCTCTCGACCAGGACGGCATAGCGCCGACGCGCTTTTCTAGCCCGAGGCGGCGTCTTCAACTCGCTCGCCCGCCGGCAGGGGGCGCATCCGGCAACGCCGCAAGACACGTGACGTGCCCTCGAGCAGGCTTTCGCGCGTCAGGAGGAAGGACGTCCCGTCAACGTCGCGTCACTCGTCAAGGGAATGGCGCCAGAAGCATTCCCACCACCAGGAAGCCATAACTCTCGACGAACGTTCGCCGGGGCCGCCCTCGGTGGGTTTATATCCTTGCCCACCAGAGGAAGGACCGCTACTCCCGGCGCGCCAGGATAGCAGAAACTCGGGAACAATTTATCGCGCCTCTCCGAGAAGCGCGGTTCGACTCTCGCCGCGCGCCGCCATTTTGGAAAGCTTGACATGGCGACGCACCACCTCCCCTAATTTAAGCACGTTATAGAGTAATCCCGCGCTCTAAGAACCTGGAATAAAGCAGAAATGGGGGTAAATCAATTGAGGGAAGACGTTAGAAGTCGTAATATACCGAAACCGTTGATTTTCAGTCCCCTAGGAGCTGATGCCGGTATCAGGGGTGCTTCGTTCGGGGCGTACACCGTAACGCTCGATGGCGCGAAGCGAACGATCCCCCACCAAGCGTTTGTCCAGGAAAATGCAACGAGACCGCCGATTTTCATCGGATCGATCCACGGGATGGCGTGTTGCGTACAAACGCTACTGGGTGGCAGCTAATAGAAGACGTAACAGGATTATTTTCAATTTGAGCTTCAAAGCACGAACTTGTTTTCCTAGCAGGATAGCATGCTCGTGGTGGAGGCTGCCTCGTTTTGTTATTTGTCTTGCCTTAAGGACATTCCCGAACCATTCGTTCCGGGCCGAATGCCGGAGTGTCGTAAATGGAGAGATTTTTCAGTACAGGTAATCGGTACTTCCGGATTAACCGGCGATTTCGCGCGTCGCTCGAGCTAAATCGCCATTTTTAGTGAGCCTCGTAAAAATAATGGATGAGTACTTAGCGCTGGCTTGAAGACGATTCAAACGGTGAGAAGACAGGGGAACAGAACGAGGGTATCGGTGCCACGGCATCGATTCCACGACGCCTGCGTCGCGACGCTCTTTCCCGCCATTTCGCCTGGTATTTTTGACCCGCTGAAAAGTCTCCACGTTTTTCTCGGATTTTTCCACCCCTTCGGACAGTATCGGATATCTAAACATCTGGCATTTCTTGAAACACTCACCCTGCACTGTTAAGAAAAAAATATATTATAATTTTATAACATTTTTATTGGAAGTTTTATTCAGACATGGTATACTCATTTTATAACATATTTTTAAATAAAATGTATAACATATTACAAATTTAGTACATACGT